GTAAACAACCAGACATTGATTCCTGTAATGTTATCAACAGTGACTTCAGGCTGCAAGGCTCTTAGTTTAGAAAAGGAAATGGTGGGGGGATAGGGAAGGAGATTTACAGAGACTGGGTGTGTCTCAACAAGTGTGAATTTAACAATGCTTCTCATCAGGCAAATTAAACATTTTACAATACACTTTCCCCCTTAGGTGCCCTCCTCTTCTGTTACTGGTGAAAACAATTCAGCAACAAGCTCATTAACTGAGGATCAGGTTCCTCTGTGCTTCCTTCCTGATCATTCCTTTTCCCCTCACACTTATATATGCAACATGCAGCTGTGGTACACAGTCAAGAATAAGGGCTTTAAAATGTAAGTGCTAGGAACAGAAGTTCCAGTCTGAATCGCTTCCAGCCCTAACACTTCTAAGTCTACAATAATTTAGTTAGAGCTGCAGGAGTACTAATCATGCTGAATTTATGTGTTCTTCTTTATGTGAATTGCTTCACTTTAAAAGCTGAGGGCATGTCTGCTATTCCCCTTCCCCCCACACACACACAACCCCGCACACTCTGTTCCAATTACAGGTTAATTTCCCAAAGTACCTTAGAGTACACATTTAGCTGCCCTGTCTTAAAATGTGTCTACATTACTGAGGTGCAGGGTAGGATTAATGCTCAAATTCTGAAGTAATTTGAAGAAGGTCAACAGATTAAGCCCCCTTTCTCAAAGCAGCTTCTCTTAAAACTGGCATTATGCTAGTTTTTTGCACAGATGCATCTCAAATTTCATGTGTACACTACATATGTATGTCTTGATATATGTATGCATATATACACATATGTATGTATATATACACACATAAAAAATAATCTGCATTGTGCCTGGTACTATTCTGTTCTAGTGGAAGTGAGGTAGAGGAACAGAGCAACAATTAAAACTTGGTTCTCTTGGACAGATGTACATCTAACTCACAAACCAGAGGTTTCCACTGGAAACATAAAAAACAGAGTGCTCTGTATTCTGTCAGTTCTCACATGAGCTGTGAGTCTCAGGGGTCTCTGTGGTAGCCATTGAACCTGACCTCCACCCAGGTAGGGTCATTTTAAATTGACTCTTGGCACATACACAAGAAGGGAAGGCAGAGGTAATTTGCTTTTGTCAGAGTTCTGCTTTGTTGTCATTTGGGGAAAATGTAACTTAAATAAAGAGGAAGATACAGAAGGCACTAAAACTTCCTTTTTTTTTTTTTTTTAAGCAAACAGTAGGTGTGCAAATGTCAGCAGCAGGAGGAGAAAGGGCAAACAGGACATTGGACTGGGGAGGGGGGCCTGTAGGAAGTGGAGGAAGATGATGGGAACAGGAAAAAAACCAGCATAGCAGGAAGAGGACCAGAGATGGGAAAGGGTCAACACCACCAGTAGCAAAACAAGTACAAAATACTCCATATGTCTATTTCTTCTTCCCTGTGAATATTCTACAAACCAGTGGTCCTTGCAGCATTCTACTCATTTCCCTATATAATATGGGAAACATCTCAACATCTGAACAGAAAAACACTCCACCTCTCAAGATGTCTGTGACGGCTTTCTGTAATTCCTTCCTCTTGCTCCAATGTGACAGCTGGCTCTCTTAGAAGCAGCATACCACTGCACAGTGGTTTACCTTACATTTATATTGAAATCTGACAATCTCTGCAGATATGTGAATTTATCCTCCCCTACCTGCTCCCTTACTCTCCCTTTCATGTGTACCCTACAAAGGGAGTTGAGATGGAAGAGGTACAGACAGGTGTGCTTCACTCTTCATTCTGTCAGGAAGAGAGAGGATGAGAAAATTCTTCCTGAAATGAATGGAGCAATTCACACCTCTCAGAGCTGTTGTTTTAAGCTACATATATGTGTCAAGCCATATTCATCTCCACCTTGTATTCTCACTCAGTTCAGGACATCTGACTGTGATGAAGAGGTCATCCCACACCTTTCTGAAAAGCCTTCTGTTTAAAGGTGAATTTCTTCTAAGTGCTGTATAATCCCCATGGTTATCTAACTGCCTTGAAATCTGGCATGGTCATCAAGGTGGTGAGTAGAACTATTGTCCTAAATTAGGGGTCACTTGAGTCAAGAATTCCCAAAATACAGCCTTTTTTAAAAAAAAAAAAAAAAACCAGCATTCCTTAACATTGACCAATTGTACCAATGTTTCCTTTGTGCACACATCTAGACTAAAACTGTGACCAAAAAGCCTCAGTTGCTCAATATTTACCCTAGCAAATGAAAGCCATCAACTATCCCCTTGGTATTCAGAGTTTGGATGCTTTCAAAAATTTCAATTTCACACATGCAGAGAATTAAATGCTTGAGACTTAGGAGGGTTATTGACCCTTTGAGTAGGTCTGAACATCTCCTTCCATTCCTATATAAAGCCTGGGAAATCCTTTTTCTTCAGAATCCTTCTTTCTGCCCTTACTAAGTGTTCAGAAGTTAGAAATTAATTGCAGGTAGTTCATTTTGAAAATTAGGAAAAGACAGAAAAGAAAAGGTAAGTCATAACTCTGGAAATAGTTCAAAAGGGATAAGAGGAAGGGGACAGGCTAGATAGGTGAATCGAAACCTTCTCTAGGCTCTGGTGGCAAGATTACAACAGCACCAATAGCCTGGGAAAAAAAGTATGCATATATCTACTGAGCAACAGCAGTGCTATATGTGAGCAACTGTGGAGTACCAAGTATCTGCCATACAAATGGTGCCTAAAATACCAATGACTTGGTGGAACAGGAAGAATGTATAAACTGAAGATGGCAGCAGAAGAATCTAGGGACAAAAGTGAGTGAATGGGAGGGTCTGCAGATGTTTCTTTCCAAGTAATGCACCTTAGGTTTGTATTTTCCATGTGCTGGAAGCTGTAATACTATCAAGCAACCAGTAATTAAACTAATTTTCAGTGAAATTCTGTCATTACTATTTTGTCATTTCCCTTCATTTCTCAGGGGCTGACATTTTTCAGCACTGAGAAACTATTCATTTAATTCTCTAAGTAACTTCAAAAACAAACCATATATAATTTTACAAAAAACTGTGCATTAGTGAATAAAAGCAAAGTTACTGTGGAATATGTATGGAAACATATTCAACTTCCATTAGAATGCCAAAGGTGTTTGTTATAGCTGGTGTTTTAAAACTGAATGCCAAATGAATTCATAATAATATGACATAACAGAACATTTTGGAAATGTCTACTCCAAAAGTGTGTATACATTCACACACTTGCACACAATATGCAGAAAGTCAGCCTGAGTGATACTAATAAAACAGAACACAAATTCTGACAAGAAAACAAACAAACAAAAACACAAAAACAAAACCACACAAAAACCAAACCGACCAAACAAAAACAAAGAAAAGGAAAAAACAAAAACCCCAAACAAACAAATAAAAAAACCAGTAACTGAAAGAGGTAATCTAACTAATAGCTACAAATATAAAACCAAAATGGAATTCTGGTAATTCATTCAAAGAACAGCTGTTCCTTGAACTTTATCTTCTTACTCAGATATTGCCCATAGGAAAAAAACAACCCTACATTCAAAGTTAACCAGAAGCAACAAGCTATTAAGTAACTGATGTACAGATGGCAAAACACACACTCACAAGGTACCAGAGTACATCAGACAAATGCTCATACTAAATGAACTCCAACCAGTAAGTCAACATGAACCAACTTCAAAACTAAGATTATGTGTCAAGAATGTAAGAGCTCAAATGTAGGTCAAACAATTAATTATGGCCTTTTAGGGGGCTCAAAACTTCTAGCAAGAGAGGATTCATCTGTGCTATTACAATCCATTTTTTATAGCAACAGAAGTAAAAGAAGAGGTCCAAAAGTTAATCAAGAACAGTTGTACCACAATTACTTGAAAATCCAAAGTCACCTGGTACTTCAGTTTTTCATCAGGGCAGGACATCTGAAAATGGACAGGTAAGACGGAGGCAAAAGTACAAGTGCAACAGTCTTTAATGAAAGATGATTCTGGCTCTCAATATTGGAAAAATGTGTGGGGTTTAGGGGGGAGCTGTGGATGTGCTATTGAAACTCTTTTTCTTGGATGGAATTAAAAGGGAAGACTTCTGATTTAATGTTCTGAACCCCTCCCCTTCTCCTCCCTTAAAAAAATTGCATGAATGATAACTGTTATGCATTTCTTGACAAGGACTCATACAGGCCAAGTGTCAAAATGATAGTGTGACAGTACATATGTTGCCTTTTCTGCTCATCCCCCAAAGTACAAAGTACTTCTGAGGGCTTCCTTGGGAAGGTTTATACAGATTAGTTTTTTTCTTCTGTTACTTAAATTTATCATCCTCTCCATTAAACAGAAGAGCATCCCACAGAAATAAGGGCTTCTCAAGCAAAATGAGGAAGATAACTAAGCTATTTTAATCTCTCAAATAAAGGGTTTTTAAGATTCCTCCTATATAAAATTTAGTTTAAGTATTTAATAGGTTGATTCCCAAATAGAAAACTAAACACATATCCTTTTGATTTCAAAAGGATTGACCCAGGGAGAATCTGGGGCACAGAGTACCACAATACAGAACCAGCAGTAAGGGAGCAGCAGCAAGTGGAACTCCCTTGCATACGGAAACATTCAGTGAAAACTTTAAAACCCCAGTCACAGCAAAAGCAAATGGAGCTTCAGCATTTTTTTTCCAAGAGCTACATTCATCCAGGAAGCAGAAAGCACTAGTTGTTTCATTAAAATTCAATTTAATGTTAAAAAGAAGTTAAAATGGTTTCTGAAAACTTAAATCCATGATCTGGTTTCTTGTTAGTCCACACTATAGTCTGTGAGCAAAAGGCAGTATATTGAACATCAGTAAGCTCTCTCAATATTTATTTTAAAAACTAGAGTATCTCAGAAGAGTAAAATAGAATTTTCACATGATGAGAGCTTGTTATACATGACTATTTCCATTAATAGATTAAATGTATTTTCTTCTCTTTTAATTAACTTACCGGGTTGATAATACATCAATAAGTTCTCTTCTGTTCCGGACTCTGAGTGCATTAGTTTGGTATCTAGAATCTTTACTAACTTCAGGCAAATTCAATACCTAAGTAAAAATAAAAATAAGTAAAAAATGTGCTTGGTAGGAGATATTTACATAGCTAACAAAATAAACTACTGATTTTAAAAAATACACTGATTTACAATAACCACTACTTCTCATTAATCTTTTAATACAGATAAAGAAATTAAAAATTAAATCAATTTTTAATGCCTCCTGGTTAACATTACATAAGAAGTAAAGAAAAAGACAGAAATTAAACTGAAGATCCAAATCTTAGCTGATAGCTTTCATGATTAGCTAGGAAAAATTCTTATTGTAGAACACTAAAAAATTGTTAATCTGTGGGATTATCCTGCACTAATTTATATGTCACAGAATAAGATGTCTGTACTTCATACACTATACTAAGAAAAGCTGTGTCTAAGAATATTTCTTTTCACTTCAGTAATCTTCATCAAAAAGAAAAGTCTTTTTCTATGGAAACATCTTCTTTATTATTATTATTTTTTCCAAAAGAATTAATAAAGAAAAGTAGTGGTATAACCTCTAAGAAAGGAGAAATATATCTTCTATATTTAACTGCCACTTGCCACATTAGAAATTTAAACAACACGCAAAGACAATGTGAATTATTCTATAAAGGGAATTAAATATGCAGAATGAGTCTTAGAATTTTGTAAACAAAGTAGCTGTGCGGACAATCAACAAAATTTATCTATTTTTGCCACAATGTCTTTCTATAGAACATAAATAAACATAATTAATTGTGCTTTCTAAATTTAATAAAAAATACCCCAATAACACCAGCTACAGAGAAAGGCAGCATAGAATCTTATAAAGGAAGAGATTTTCACATTTCCTTCATGTATTTTACTCACTAGCACACACTCCAGATCAGTTTTTCTTATGATGATTCTTATAATCATTCTAAACATACTACATTTTTTTACAGAGCCGCATCTAAGATGGCTTAAAAAAAATATAGTGGCTCAAACTGGAAGTCCCTATAGCCCATCATCCTATCTCTGCCTGTGTCTGAGTGAGGATGCTTAGGAAGGGCTTAAGAACAGGGCCAGTACATACAACACTTCCTTAATCTTCATCCAAACTCCAGGCCCCTTTAGATTAGGTCATTTCCGAGTTGCAACTGTTTTCTATATATTTAGTAATTATCAATGGATTTCAGTTTTATTAACATGTTCAGTCACTCCTTGAATCCATATGCCTACATACTACCACAGAAGTATACATAAATTGGTGTCAATCTCTCTAGTATTTGCCTCAAACATAACTTTCTACTAATTCCTCTGACACTGGTTTAGACCAAGGCTGCTATTATTTAATGACGCCTAACTTTGCTGGAGTGAACAAGCATATGGCTTCCCTTACAAGTGAGTAGCTGCTGATGACATAAAACCATCAGCAAAACAGATATTCTTTCAACGGATATTTAGAGATATTCAAAACAGATAGTCACCTTTGACATAGTTGTCATGCAGAGTGACAAAACTAAGCATGGAAACCAAGGTATCCATAAGTTATGCAATAACAATGATGTTACATAACTTCACTGCAAATTTTTATCTGCAATGTAACATAAAACATCAATCTAGCATCTTCCATCAATACTTAATTCACAGCATATTTTTTCTTCTGTGTTTATACAATCTAGTTTATGAAAATCATAACGTATCATAATTTTGCTTCAGAAAATAGGTAAATTTTCCTATCTGGAATTTTATCAATAATATTGTATCCCTTAAAATTATCTCCTTTTCTTAATACTGCTATTTTGGAGTTACGAATCACTGCTTTAGAAAAAAAAGTCATGCAAGGTTGTTCAAAGTAAATTATAGTGAATACTTATTTATGAGAGCTTAAAAAAACTAGCAATTAATCAGAAAACTATGGTTCCATTTGATGAGTTATATGAAAAAATGATCATATGGAGTTGCTCACTCTGCTGTTTTAATTAATGTTACCGACCAGTTTTAACTTAATGTCCATCTGTTGTAAAGCTGCATGTCTATATATGTTCTCAATTTCTGGTGACTAACAAATGTACACTTGAGAAGTTATTCATTAATGTACCATTCATCTTTCTGCATCATGTTTCCAATGTTATTTCTTTATTTCACTGTGACCATTTGGAAGGAAGCTGGTGTTCTCTATTTGAGGATTTGTTCAAGCTCTAAGATGCACACTCAGAGCTTATGCTCTCTGTGTTTTGCCCCATTAGCAAACCTGTTTGTACACTCCTTTGCTGTACACAAAACCTCAGTCTTCTGAAGACTTGCTCAGTATTGGCTATTTAGACTGAAGCAGCCAGAGGTCAGGATGTGCTATTGTAACACTTGACCACAATGAAATGCACTCCAGCCAGAAGGGTTACAAAGTTTTTCTGCAACTATCCAAGTCCTCAAAAAAGCTACAGTTAGTTGTCATTGATTTTGAATACATCACAGTGAATTATTCCAGACTTTTCTTTCTGCTTGCCTGAAAAGATACAATTGAAGCAGAATGTTTGCAATTGTTTACAGCTTGAGCCAGCTGTTACATCTCTAGAGTATGTGTCTTCAGGGCAACAGCTTCCATACAGCCTGTATTTTTAGCATCAACTCACCTCAGAGAGATTCTCTAATAGCAATTCCAATGTTTGAATTAATGGTCTCTGTATGCACTAAAGTTCATTAGGGTGTGGAGGGCCTTCCCATGATAAAGTTCTTTTCCTTTATTGGCTCCCCCTCTTCAAAGTGTTTTAAGTTACAAATCAGCTTTGATTTAGCACAGAGCATACCTCTAATGGGTATGCTGTAATTTTTAAAAATGCTGTCTAATGCTACATTCAAAAATTCTCCTGTCCTAGCTTACTGGGGTCTTTTATTTGGAATGTTGATACATTCTATTTAGAACATTTTTTTTTATTTGAAGATTTGTTCTTCAACATCCTATCGCTGCACCACTCCAGTCAGTCCACAGTCCTGTATAACATTTCTTTTCTAAGAATTTCACAAGTTTCTCTGCAAGGACAGACCAGCACATACTAGTGTTCGAAAGGACCGCACACTTGGCTACTGACGAAAGTCACACAAGAACAATCCATCCCCTAGCTTTGCTTTGTTAATACCTGTGCCTACCATGTATTTTATGGAGAAACAGTGCCACATTTCTTCCTGAAAAAGGCACTAGTGTGAATCATGACAAACTGGAAGGTTGTTAGGTCGTTCATTTTTTTAGCTAGTTAGATGTGCGCAGACTCCAAAAGGGGCACAGTACCCACAAGTTTGGGAACTGGGGTGTTCTGAATTCGGAGGCAAAACACAGAACCCATAACAGACCCCTAAATGATCAGAACTGCAGGGTTAGAATTTATACTCACCACTTTCATTCCAAAAACAAAAGAGAAAAAAGCCCCAGGAGAATAAAGAAGCAATCAGCATCTTCATTTTCCTAGTCAGAATGGAAACTATTGCACATTATTTGCCTAACACACCTTGCACACAGTGACAAACTGACGATCATTTCCAGCTCCCACCACTATGTAGCCATCCTTGGTCTTAAAAGCCTGGAAGAACAAAGACAGGTGATAAGCTGTAACTAAACAATAAAATATTAGCACATGTTTGAAGTGAAACTTTGTAAGTAATGTTCAAATTACTTTCCTAAACATTTCCATTCAGATCCACTCTCTAGTTCTATAAAAGTGGTTCAAAGGCATCCACAAAGATGGATGCAGCCCTTTTGATTTTTTTTCCAAGAGTTAGGAAGTTATCTTGATTAACAGTTTATTTGCTGAAAATGTGCCATGAGGCACCCTGAAACTTTGCAAATATGACTCACACTCACAGGGACTGAGAAGGATTACCATGATAATGCCTCATTCAAGGAGGTACTTATTCAGCTTCATTCTTAGCCTGACTCAGAGCAGAGAGATTCATGAAAGTGTCACAGACCCTGACCAAATGTGGCAAAAAATAATTGCCAAATAGCAACTACAAATTAGAGCTCCCATGAGAACGAAAAGGATAGACTGCATTTTTCCAGCTCTTTGGCTGGAGAATAAGCTATCTCCTTGGTCAGTGGTCTCAAGATTGAGTTCCTGGAGGAAATGGGACTTCTTTTCCAGCTTTGAGGATTTATTTTTACTTTTGACTTCATTACAACAGCCTTACTGGCACATTTCATGGTGAACAGAACATTTAATTGGGTAGGACATAACAGCTTTTATTTCAGTCTAAACATCTTAACTTAGATTTTCACTGGAAAAAAATAAAATCAGTAATTGGCAACATCCTCAATTTTTACAATTGTGTCAGGTCCTCTTCTAACAACATAGCTCTCTTTTCTCCATAGCTCTCCCTTATACAATGGTGTATAACTGCAGTTTCAGTCATACATGTTACTATCACAATTTTTGCAAACAACTGGGAAAATTCTTTCACTATTAATTTGACTTCAGTGTAAGAGGCCAGTATAGGCTGGTGCACTAATGGTGATGAGGCCTTGCGACACTTTCTTGAAGAGTGCAAAACTCAGCTTCTATTCCTAGAAATCTTTTTTTTTTTTTTAATGAGCTATCACATCCTGATTTAAAGGTACGAATTCTTACAATAAATTTTGGTAAAATAACACACAAATATAAGTCCTGGTGTGGGAACACTTAAATAATTAAAAGTCTTCTCATGCCACAGTGGTTTATTCTTCTTCACAGAGAGAATATGCTATTTCAGCTTGCAATCCTTCATACAGATACAAATACTTTCACTAAGACTCTTACCATCTGGTATAGCCAAAGTTTTAAAATTGTACATGGACAATTATGCCCACTGAAGTGCAAGTAACTGTTCATCATAGTTAGAATATCACTTGTTTGCTCTTGCTATGTTTCATTTCATGGTAAATAGTATTGGTCAGTGATGAAGCTTAGCAATTTATTTTTCACACATTTAATTAAGTACTTCGGTCTAAGATTCTTAGCAAGTAAAGATGAAATTCGACAAACATTTAGTTCCAAGTATGCAAAAAAGTACCACAGATTTAGCTCAAATATAGTAGAAGTTTAGAAACATGCACAATATAAAGGTACTGAATACTCACGCTGAGGAAAGCAGGGAGCACAGAAAAAAATTGGGAAAAAGAATACAAAAAATAAAGTTATATGTGAATACATAAACATATCTTAGATAAATCTGTTATCTGATAAAGACTTCTTTCTAAAACAATCATGACAGAATCTGGTCCAGGAATATGTAAGACACTCTCCCCTAATAAATGGTTTTTGGTAGGAATAGTTATGAATTGAAAGTGTCAGTACGAACTTACTACCTTTAGTTATAGGCAATATGTTTTCTGAACACCCTGCCCACATTCTGACCTGTCTTTGCTGATGCTCTGAATTCTAAAATCAGCCACATGAACATCACACAAATTATGGGTTCAATACTATATATATCAGTGTGTGTATATGTAACACAATATATTGTGTTACAAATTACTGGTGTGATCACCTACTACTTCCAGTAAACATAAATTAGAATTCTTTTGTACATTCTTTTAAACTTCTAGTCCGGATGCCTGTTACAGATTGCAAAGCCTACAATGTATGTCATATGTACAGACCTCCTTCCTCGCCATCCAAAATATATTTAGATTGCTCATATGGGCAAATCTTACAGAGTTTATTATTTATCAGCAACTTCTTTTGAGACTCACATCTCTGTAAGAATGCTGCATACCACTCTGAAACATGCATCTGTACCCACTGGCTACCCATGCAGCAGCGGAAGCACTCTAAATTTAAGGGCCTGGTTATTAGCATGTGTGCTTCAGTTGCTTTGTGGAATGTGTGGGAAAACTGATTATTCTTAATTGCACTGTATGTCTAAAAAGCTGAAACAACAATCATGTCATCCTTACACAACAAAAATGGTATCATAATAAATGCAGCAGTGTCTTTTTCCATGAAGCTTAACTCAAATGTCTTCAGCTGCTATTTTAAGCTTCCCATTGCAAAACAGCTGATTATTTGCCAGTCATTGCTGCTGATAAAGCAGAAACTTCCAAATGTTGCTAGCACAATATTGATGCCAACATTTAAGTGTGACAATGGTTTTATTCATTACTCATAAATGTACGCACATTACAGGTTACCACAGGTTACTGTCTGGTCACAGGAAGCTTCACAATCTTATTGTACCACGGAGAGTTAAGGGCAAAGTGCAGACAGATTTTAATGAGATTTTGTTTTGATAAACTGCTGTCCATCACATCGAATCATTTCACATGAGTGCAACAAAAAGGCACTACACACACAAGGCAAAAGTCTTTTTTCCCTTCCTTTTTTTCTGAGAGAATGAGGCCTTCCAATAAAATTCTTGAAAGCACAAGCATGAGTTAACCTGCTCCTCCCATGTGGTATCCTGAGCAATAGCATATCATTCAGTGAAAACAAGAAACAAATACCAAGCAAAAAATTATTCCACATCTTATTCATGGAAGAGGCAGATTGTGAGCATCCAAAGATGTAGCTTTTCAGTACGATGCAAAAAACTTGAGCGTTTCTAAGATGATACGTAAATTCACAGTGAAAAATATTTAGTATATGACATCAACACATGCATGTTCAAAGACAGATCTCAAGGTCCAGTGGGCGTGCCTCAACAGCTCACACTGTCTAATGGATGTTACAGGACCTCATTAAGACCTAGCACTTTTCCAGATTTGATCCCAGAACACTGTGTATACCTGAGATATTTTGTGTACTGAAATATTTTCATGTACCTAAACACACGGCACGTAAACTCTATCTACTTTCAGAAATATTCAAAGTTGTTTACGAGTATTCACCAAATATGCTATATAGATTACACATCATCATATATGTTTCAGTTTGAATGTTGATTTCACTAACAAAATTTTAAAATGTAAGGGGCCAGTCAAAAGATATGGCAATTCCAATAAAATGATCAGAAGTCCAGGTAAGTTATCAGTATTTGAATCCAAACCGCAGAAATCAAAACAACCAGAACATCTGCAGCTATGTATGGTAATGCTTTACTCCTCTCTAGGTTAAACAATCCCAGTTCTCTCAGTCTCTCCATATATGAGAGATGCTCCAAGCCCTCAATTATTTTTTGGCCCTTCACTGGACCTGCATGTATGAGCATGCAGGTATGAGCATATCCTTGTCCTACAAATACCAGAAGTAGACACAGTTGTGGACCCGTAACTGGATCCAGCAGTTATTCATCCTCAGTGGTGCTGAGAAGAGGGGAAGGATCACCTCTCTCAACCTGCTGGCAATCTCCCCTCCAATACAGACCAGAACCATTTCTTTGTCACAGGGACACATTGCTGGCTCATGTTCCATTTTGCGTTCACCAGGACCTCCAGGTCCTTTTCTGCAAAGCTGCTTTCCAGCAGGTCAGCCCCAGCCTGTACTGATCCTACCACGTGCAGGACTTTGTATTTCCCTTTGTTGAATTTCATTAGGTTCTTCATAGGCCAGCTCTCCAGCCTGTCAGCCCCTTGAATGGCAGCACAACCACCTGGTGTATCAACCATTCTTCTCAATTTTGTACTTTCCACAACTTGCTGAGGGTACACTCTGTCTAACACTCAGATCACTAATGACCTTGTTAAACAGTACTGGCCCACTGTACTACCTGCCACTAATGATTCACCTCCAGCTGGACTTCATGTCACTGATCGCAATCCTTTGAACACGACAGGTCAGCCAGTTTTTATTGCCCTCAATAATCTAAATCAGCACTGTTGAGGGAAGGCACTTTGTAATCTACTCTCAAAAGCTATTGACAAATCACATCCAGCACACAATGAAATATAGCCTCTAGCCACCACCATTACTAGGCAGCTTCCCAGTGCCACCAGGATTATCAAGGTTAAATACAAAGGATACAAGTGCCACACAGGTAGAAACTAGATGTCACTTTTTCAGAGACTTCATAGGGAGATGATTTTGGAAGCCAAACAATACTTGGAGAGACCAATAGCATGGGGCTTTTGAAATTGGAGGACTATTCCATATTTAGGAGACATTAACAGCTTTAATTATTTGAACAAACTACTGATTATTTTCATTACCAGTTACCATATTGGCCTGTTTACTGATAATGGCAGTGAATGGTCGAAATATTTGAAAGTTTACAGGCCTCCTCTTGGAGAAGGATTTGCACTACATCAGATATGGTAAAAGGGATACACTACTCATCTTTATGAGTTTTCTTATCTCATGTTCCTTTGTGAGTATCAGTTAGGATCTGTACAGATGTTTGCAATCCCTTTTCATTGTGAACAGCTGATGTTAGGTACCCTCAGATTTTAAGTATCTTGCAAGACAGCACTGCCTTTTGATTCACAAAGTTGAAAAGCAGCATCCCTAAAAGCATCCAATAATGGCTCATGAGGGGAACAGCTGAAGGTTTTCAGATAGTCACTATGTATTGGTGAGTTCTGGAGCAGTACTTACCGGGTAGTAACTTCTGCATGTCTTCTGATTGCTGTTGGTTTTACAGAGCAATGGGCTGATTGCTTCAACTGGCATCG